GTTTAGGGTTTAGGGCTTAGGGCTTAGGGTTTAGGGTTTAGGGTTTAGGGTTTTGGAGTTTAGGGTTTGGATGCCGGGTTTAGGAGCTGGGTGTAGGGTTTAAAGGTTTACGTGGGGCTTCGAGGTTGGGGCTTAGGGATCGGCTCTGGGGATTGGGTTGTTGGTTAGGGGTTTGGGGTGTAGGGATGACCGCGATCAGGAGGGGAGTTGCCAGGTAGTGGCGGTTTCTATGCAGGTCTTTACACATGGGGCATGTTAGGGAACTCACTCTGCCCGTAAACACTCCTGAGCCCTACACCGAAAGCCCTTCAGGCCCCTACGCTCTTAAGCCCTGAAGCCCCCTTGAGCCCCAAACCCTGAAGCCCCTAAACCCCCTAAACCCTAAACCCCCCCAACCCTAAACCCTAACCCCTTAACCCTAAACCCTCAACCCTCAACCCTCAACTCTCAACCCTAAACCCTAAACCCTAAATCCTAAACCCTAAACCCTAACCCCCAAAAAGCCAAGGCTCTCTTGGGCTTCCGGTGGTGGAAGCCCTTACCATGAGAGGTCCTTGCAGCCATTTAGGGCCTAAAGCTTAGAACCCTCAATCCCGACATGCTTGGTTTAGGGTTTAGGGTTTAGGGTTTAGGGTTTAGGGTTTAGGGTTTAGGGTTTAGGGTTTAGGGTTTCGGGTTTCGGGTTTAGGGTTTAGGGTTTAGGGTTGGCTGTAACTAGGGAATTGTTTCCCCATACAGACCCCATGAGGGCTACAAAAGGAGATAAGGTGTCTGCAGTATCCAATTCCCTTTGTCGCTACTAAGAACTACGTGAGAAATACGTAGCAAGTGAACCCCCTACCAAACAACAAACCCTCAAAACCGAACGTTTCGCTTGTGACTTATCGTGCCTGTATTCAGCAGTCAGCCCACAGTTTTTGGCGTGGTATCCAAAAAAACAGAACCTCGACAACTGACCCTACGGCGCCGAGGGAAAGCCCCCGAAAAGACCTTTCGGGCAACGAGTCCGAAGCTATCTGTCTTCTTACGAGACACAAGCCCTAAACCTGATAAGGATATGTGCACGCGCCAGGATTGAAGAGGTTTTGTGGTGTTGATGGTGGATAAAACAGCGGCGAAAACTCCGGCAACTTCCGCGTGGTTTGGTAAAGCTTCTGATTAGAGTATTTCGGTTCCTCTCCGCGTAAGCCCTTAACTGAAGGCCCTTAACTCTGAAAACGTTTTCAGGACTTCGGCTTCCAACTCCGAGCGACTCCGACATGACAAACAACCCAATCTCTGAACCCTTTGGCCCTTTGGTTCGTTTCGAGAGGCTTCTAGGATTTCGGGGGTACCCTAAACCTAGAACGCTAAAACCCTCAAGCCGCAACCCCAAGCCCTTGAACTTGAACACGAAATCCTACTACAACCCTCGTTCGTCGCCCTAACCCTCAGGCTAACTTGCTCCCACGCCAACCCCCAACCCCTAAACCCTAAACCGTAAACCCCCAGCCAAGAGGCAGGAAGTTGACAGCGGCCTTGATCTCGTCCATGAGGTGCGCTCCCATTCCTGTTGTATGGGGTTTAGGTTCGGGTTTACGGCCGTAAGGTTAAGGACTTCAGGGGCTTAAGGCGATTTAGGGCTTTATGGTCTCTCTCTCTCTCTCTCTCTATCTCTCTCTCTCTCTCTCTCTCCCTCTCTCTCTCTCTCTATCTATCTCTCTCTCTCCCTCTCTCCCTCTCTCCCTCTCTCTCTCTCTCTCCTCTCTCTCTCTCTCTCTCTCTCTCATGCGCAGCAACTGGGTTGCAAGCAATCGCACTACACTGCCAAAGCTAAAGCAGAGCTGTTGCGCCAAGGACACACACCCACCCACACAACACACACACAACGCACACACACACACACACAACAAAAAAAAAACACACACACACACACACACACACACACACACACACACACACACACACACACACACACACCCGCACACACACACACACGGACACACACGGACACACGGACGGACACACGGACGGACACACGGACGGACACACGGACGGACACACGGACGGACACACGGACGGACACACGGACGGACACACGGACGGACACACGGACACACGGACACACGGACACACCCACGCACGCACGCACGAAGAGCACGAGCAGGAGCACGAGCACGAGCACGAGCAGGAGCACGAGCACGAGCGCGGCACAAGCACAAGCACAAAAAATAGACGCAGACACAAGCACAAGCGCGCACGCACGCACGCACGCACGCACGCACGCACGCACGCACGCACGCACACACACACACACAGGGTTTTGGGTTTTAGGGTTCAGGGTTGGGGTTGAAGCTTTGGGGCTTAGGGCTTTATAGGTCTTAGGATTTTAGGGCTTTGGGGTTATAAGGTTTAGGGTATGAGGGTTGGGCTTGAGGGTTTGGGGCTTTCTAGGGTTTGGGTAGTAGAGTTTAGGGTTTGAAGGTTTAGGGGTCTTGGTTTTAAGGTTTAGGTTTTGCGTTTTAGGGTCAGGGTGTTATATTATAGGGTTTATGGTTTGGGGTGTAAGATTAAGCTTTAGGGGTTAGCCGTTAGGGTGTTGGGGTGTAGGGTTTAAGGCTTTAGGATGTTCGGGTTTAGGGTTTAGGGTTTAGTGCGGCCCACCCTAAATCCCCATTTTGTATCCCCAAAGCCTACAGGTAACCCCAGGAACTTAAACTCCCGAAGGCCCAAACATAAACAAACCACCTAGTAGCAGGCCCCTCCACCCCTGAACAGCCAAACCCGACACCCCTAACCCCAGGCAGCCCGAACCTTCGTGGGTTGAGCGGGTTTACGTAGGGTCCAGACCAGGGACTTTCTGTTCTATCACCTGCTTGCAAGCTATGTGCAAATCAAGCAACTCATGGTCAGGTTGTTCTTGACCACGATACGGAACCTAATGCAAGAACCACCTAAACCCTCAACCCTCCACCCTATACTAGACCCAGGAGTAAGCTAGGAATAAACAACTTTTTAACCTTTTTGGGTTTAAAGGGGATTGTAAGGGAACATACGCCTAAACAAAGGGGATAAGGGCCTACTACTCTGGGTCCTAGTATACCCTTCTTTTCGGAGGGCTGACGCAAGCTCATGCAGGTGTTCTCTGGGCTCTTCACACTGGCCGTGGCTTTGACGCCTCCACGAGCTCGCGGTGGCCACGGCCCATAATCCAACTGGGGATGCTACATGTTCCCAAGCCCGCGAAGCCATCTGCAAGCCGTCAAGATAAAACCCTAAGCAGCCCAACCCGGACAGCGCAACAAGAACCCGCCCCAAGTAAACGCTGAGAATAACATTATTTTACTTCGAACATCCCCACCTTGATCCTCGGTGAAAAGAAAGAACGCAAATAAGACCCTCAAACAAAGACACATTGATTCAACTATGCTTTCTTCGTGTGGGCTTGCAACTGGGGTTGGGCACTCCAGGACACTGTGGGGTTGGGCATTTCATGGATGAGCGAGGAGTAGACCGGGCGAAGAGAAGAGTTCCGGGCGAGGAGAAGAGTAGAGCTTAAAATCTAACAGCCCCGCACCGAAGGTTGGGCAGACCAGAACGGAAGCCTAAACCCTTAAAGGCGACAGATCTAAACCCGAGCATGACCCCTACACCACAAGCCTTTGGACCCTAAACCCCCCGAAGCCCCTAAACACCCTAAACCCTAAACCCCCTAACCCTAAACACAAGACCCCTAAACCCCCAAACCCTAAACCCTAAACCCTAAACCCTGTAAAACGAAGAAAACCTTGCAAGTCTCAAGGCCCTCCACTGCGGCCAAGGCGCATGGCCTGCTCACAGGCCTGGTCGGTGAACAGCGGCATTGTCTCCTGTCATGTGGTAGGAGGTTTAGGGTTTAGGGTTTAGGGTTTAGGGTTTAGGGTTTAGGGTTTAGGGTTTAGGGTTTAGGGTTTAGGGTTTAGGGTTTAGGGTTTAGGGTTTGGGTTAGGGGTTTAGGGTTCAGGGTTGAGGGTCTGCGGGTTTTGAGGTTGAGGTTTGGGATGGGATTTGCTAGGGCTTTAGGGTTTAGAGGTGTTCCCCAAATTAGACATTAGGGCTTAGGGTTTTGGATTTTGGGTTGTGGGGTTGAGAACCCTCAACCGCTGCCAGTCTAGGCCAGCCAAGACTTTGGACTCAACCCTAAACCCTAAACCCTAAACCTAAACCCCTAAGCCCTGAAGCATCCTACCTCCGACAGCGGGTGGTGCATGGACATGTGGTAGCCGCTGACGTACCAATGCCTGAGGGCGCTTTGATTTAGAAAGTTAGTTTAAGGGGTTTAGGGGTTTAGGGGTTTAGGGGTTATAGGGGTTTCGGGGTTTAGGGGTTTAGGGGTTTTAGAGGTTTTAGGGGTTTAGGGGTTTAGAGGTTCTAGGGGTTTAGGGGTTTTAGGGGTTTTAGGGGTTTAGGGGTTTAGGGGTTCAGGGGTTTAGGGGTTTAGGGGTTTTAGAGGTTTTAGGGGTTTAGGGTTTAGAGGTTTTAGAGGTTTTAGAGGTTTAGGGGTTTAGGGGTTTAGGGGTTTAGGGGTTTAGGGGTTTAGGGGTTTAGGGGTTTAGGGGTTTAGGGGTTTAGGGGTTTAGGGGTTTTAGGGGTTTAGCGTCTAGGGTCTCCAAGTAGCAAGGGATTCTGTTGACAAATGCTCCATCAGGCTAGGCGGCCTTTTCACACATTCCTCACCCATGCATGTGAGTGCCCGAAGATGTCATGCAAAAAGTGCGGCCCTCCCATCGTGACCTCCTTCCATGTGCGCTGCCGCCCACGCATCTACTAGCGTTTAGGGTTTAGGGTTTGGGGTTTAGGGTTTGGGGTTCAGGGTTTGGGGTAACTGTCAGAAAAGGGTCAGAAAAGGGTTCAAACAAAGGCTGCTGGTGCCAGTAGCATGATGAGCGCTTGATTGACACACCAAGCTGGTTTCAGTTTTTGTCTGGACATAGATCTCAACAATCCCCGACATGTGTTTTTGCAATCAGGGGCTGCGCAAACTAGTGAGCAATGCCAACTTCGCACCTAGTCGTTGTTGCCAGAAAAAGAGCCTTAAGATTGCATGAGCATCTTGCCTGTGTGACGGCAGTGCATAGGCAAGGACAAAGAAACAAGGTTGAAATTCAGATGACGATGTTAAACATGATACAAGTTAACAAACATGAAAGACGGCAAGGTTGAGAAAAGAGATCTGCCCAAAATGAAGCAAGCCGCCCCTGGGCAATGATGTGCTGGAGGTCGATGTCGTCCTGAATCCCAAACACCCTCCCAAACCTTTGGCTTCCCTGAGCTCCCCCCCCCCCTCCCCCCAGGCTTCCTAGAGGGGATAGAATTAGGGGGGGATAAAGACCCTCTGAGTAAGGTTCTTGTTTAAGAGAGCCAGAAGAGGGTTAAGAAGGGTTCCGAAGGGTTCCCGTTTAAGGGGCCCCCTTGTCCTACCTGGGACTTTCCCTGAATCCCCCCCTTGAGTTTCCTCTAAGTTGACGCTAAGGCGGCTGATGACCGAGGGCAGAACCGAAAAAGCCCCAAACCCTAAACCCTAAACCCTAAACCCTGAACCCTAAACCCTAAACCCTAAACCCTAAACCCTAAACCCTAAACCCTAAACCCCCCCAGCTCTGATTAAGGCTAAGCAGCAAATGGCAAGCCGAGGTCGGGGTTGATCATGGCCGTGACGACCTCGGTCTTCGTGCGTGGGCTACGGACTTTTGGGGAACCCTAAAACGTACCCCCCCCCCCCCCCATATATACACCCTAAACCCTAAACCCTAAACCCCAAACCCCAAACCCCAAACCCTAAACCCTATAAACCCTGAACCCTGAAACCCCCAAAAATCCTAGGGGTTTAGGGTTTAGGACTCATCCTGCAGCCTAGACCGCCCCAAGCCGTTTCTTGGCAAAGCCACCGGCAAGCACAGCTTCTGCTCGCTCATGCCGACCTCAGATTTTAGGAGGTCTGCTTTAACTGATTTGTTTCTAATCTGTTTATTGATTTACTTAAAGTAAAACAAAATAGTGCACGATACGGATAGGAGGAACCTCATGGCTTCGGTTCAGGGTTTAGGCGGTTTAGGGCGTTTAGGGCGCAAGGTCCGAATCCCTAAGCCCTAAAGCCTAAAGTCCCTAAAGCGAGGGCTTTGTTAGGGCGCGGGTGCAGGGGTTGGAATTATCTTTTGGGATTCTGGCGGCAGGCGTCAGCATGTTGGGGGCCTTTGGGGGCTTCAGGTGCTTCTGGGAGCTGGTTTGGCTCGGGACGTTCTCTGAATTCACTGCAGGCTCATTCTATGAAGGAGCAATCCACCGGTACTGGTAGGCGCCGGCCATCCACCGAAATCACCCATAAACCCGACAAGCTTCCAGTGAGAGTCCTCGTTGACCGGACCTGCTGCATATTCATGACGTTTGAACATGGGGAACTGGAAGGAGCCATCATTGCATCCAAAACCGCAGTGTCTGCTCAAATCCATGAACCCATTCAGGATCCTGATCATGTGTGCAGTCGAGGTTACGACCCAGAAGGGAACCGTGGTGATGTAGTGGGTTGGGGTCTTGCTGTGGGAGACGCACGCGCATTCTTGTGCGTGTCTGCGGTGCTCGCCAGAATCGCGCGCACGCACGTGTCCAGTGGCAGGCCGCGTGACCTTGGAGGGGGTGTGCACACAATCGTGCCCTTGCACATGAACTCGCTCGCGATACCCAGCCGCTGTCTGCGTTTGTCATCCTTGTAGTGTACGGTCAAGACTGTGCGCATGCCCAGTCCCCTTTTGGGTCTTAACCTCGACCGCATACATGATCACGATCCTGAAAGGGTTCATGGGTCTCATCAGCATATTGGTCACAGCGCTCCTCCGGTCCGTCGACGTCCTCGCTGAAAGCGTTCGTTCGACTCTCCAGTTGGTCGGCAGCACGAGCGGGAGAGGGATGCACCCATGAACCCCCGCGAGCAAAGATGTCCTGAGAAGACCTGTACTGCCCGACGCCACGAAATGCGACGCGGTCGCACGCGCGTGACCAACGTCGGCCACGGGCCTGAATGAGCACAGCCATGGCTTGACTGCCGCCCAGAATACTGGCCAGTACTTCTGCCAGGCAGACGGCAATGTGCGCCACTGGGCTGCTGAGAGTTCCCTTCTTGAAAGCGGCAACCACTCTTGGCGGAGCAGACCAGCAACGAGCCTCGGCTTCCCAACGCAGGCTGCAACGTCAGCCGGCGACACCATGGCGCCAAACAACGGCCCCAAACGCGTCTCCTTGAGCTGTCTCTTTGGAGCTTCCTTTGGCTTTGGTACCTTCTTTGGCTGCCTGGCTGCTGGGGGCTGTCCTCGCTTCGAATTCCTCTTTTGGGAAGTCAAGGGTGGAACTGAAGGGGCGAGTCGCAGCGGCGCTTCTGGGCATTTCTGCTGCTCTATACAGGCAAGATAGCACATTGCCCAAGCCGGCACGTCGACTGCAACGCCGTCGTCCGAGCCACATTGGGAGTCCTCCTGCCTGTGCTGGAATTGGCAGAGGTAGGTCGGTAAAAGCTCGAACTCCCTTTGATCTATGGTGGGCAGATCTCTCCTTGAAGAAGAATACCCCGCATTGCTTCGCCACCGTGGTCGTGACAAGGTGGGGCTAAGTCCATCGCTTCCCCCACTGGTGTCGATGCACCTGCTGCATTGAAGATAAACGTTCCGTCGCGAACGGTAGACAAGAACGAATCGAGCGAGGCTGTGGCCCGGGAGCTCGTCCTCAGTCCTCGTGCTGAAGGCTCGGAAACGGTGCTGACATCTAGGAGGCCTCGAACTTGGACCAAGAAAACCTGCAGGATGTCATGATGCAAGTCGATGTCGACCTAACAGCGTGGTTCCCGGGCATTTAGCCAACTGTACATTCTACACCAGCACCACCACAGTACTATGACATACCATCCCAGAATCTACCATACTGGCACTACTATAGATATACCATGAATGCTTCGGTACGCAGGCGTGAGCGGCGGCTGTTCGCCAGTCGAGCCGCAGCGTCGAGGATGGTGAAGATCGACTTTCCGTCGACCTTGATGGACTTGAGTCCTGGAGCTTTCCGTATCTTCCCGTCACCCCTTGCACAAACAACAACCTAGCAGGGCCTAGCAACCCAACACACTCCCCCCCTTCCCCTCACTCCCACCTTCCTCCTCCCCCCCCCCCCTCTTCTCCCCTTCCCCCCCCTCCCCCTTCGCCCCCCCAAAGAAAGGATTGGGATGCACAGGAGGCGAGACCCACCTTCGCGGAGGAACGTCGCGACAGACATCTGGTTCCGGACCTCGGAAGCCGACAGCTAGGTCCAAAAGCCTGGAAACTGTGGGGTTTAGGACTGAGGGTCAAGAGTTCCAAAGCCGACTTCCAGGAAAGAGGTTATGATTCATAAGTTGCATCATCAGCAATATTTGTGCAATAGGAGCAGCTGCTTGGTCTTAAACTGTTTTGAAGTCCCCCAAAGGTAACAAGGTCCCCAAAGCCCAACATCATATAGCTCAAGGCTGCCGCCCTTTAGGGTTTAGGGTTTAGGGTTTAGGGCTTAGGGTTTAGGGTTTAGGGTTTAGGGTGCCGATGATGCCCCCGCCTGCTCCGCGTAGCCCTCCTTTCCAAGTCTCAGCAGCTTGTAGAACTGCACGTAGATGCCCTGAACACTCAGGGTTTAGGGTTTAGGGTTTAGGGTTTAGGGTTCAGGGTTTAGGGTTTAGGGCTTACCCTAAACCCTAAACCCCAAACCCCAAACCCTAAACCCGTTTCCGTTTCCGGCGGCTACAGGCCCCGAAAACCCTCCTAAGCCCTGCAGTATCGGGCAGGGCCGACAAGAAGGAAGGGATGCGGGGCCCGCATTCGGACCAGGAGCCCAAGGGCCGACTTAAGCTGTCCACATAACTTGTAGGGTCTAGGGTTTAGAGTTTAGGGCGTTTAGGGTTTAGGGTTTAGGGTTTAGGGTTTAGGGTTTAGGGTTTAGGGTTTAGGGTTTAGGGTTTAGGGTTTAGGGTTTAGGGTTTAGGGTTTAGGGTTTAGGGTTGGGATGTTCACCCTTATACTTACAGCCCTAAAATGGCCCTAAACAGGGATCATACTGGGGGTACTAGAATCCGTACTCGGACTGTTCGTATAAGGGGGAATCTCCCAACACATAACATACAAAGTGCCCACCGGCTTTCATGGGAGCAAAAACACTACCAAGACACGCCCCTTCTAGCCCAAAAGACTCAAACAGAAAAACCTACCCAAAAGCCACACAGGATACGTTCATTTGTAAAATAATTGTTCTCTCTGCTAATAATTCCCAGGCGTTCTTCTAATATTATTTGCCCAGGGGTGAAAGAAGAGACAGATATGAGTGAACAAGAAGATAATAAAGTGAGTAAATGAACGAATTTAATTGTAATGAAACGCAGTGAAAGCACGAATTAAATGAGTGAATGACGAACGGGGCGAATTAAACAAGAAATTAGTATTCTATTCGCCCCTGCAATTCCATAATTATTATCTTTCCTTGCGGGCTCATAAAACGACTAACTAATTGGCCGCGAGAAAACCCCAGAATTACAGTATTATTACAAAGGGCGTTTACTTCTCACACTACAATACTGATACACTGTGTTCTTGCCTGTAGAATATTAGTATGAGAATGTGAATGAAAGTACGAAATGAATTCATTTTCTGGAAGTCTTGTTTCGTTCACTAAATTCGTTCACACTTTATCTACCCCAAAGCCAAGCACCCACTCTAACAAACACAGGCCCCCTAAGCCCCAAACCCTGGGCTTCTGTAACCCCCCACACACCATCGTGTCCCAACTCCTGGCCGGTTTAGGATTCAATCTTGGGGTAGTTGCATGGTCCCTGAGCATGGGCCCTTCAACGGGACCCCTCATATATACTCTCCCCATATACCCTCTACAACCCACGGGCCCATACATCAGAACCCGAACTCTAAGAAGGTAAGCGACCAGAAAAGGGAACCCTGATATTCAAGAGGTTTAGGGGGTAGGGGGTTTAGGGAGTTAGGGTGTTAGGGGGGATGATTTGGGTAAGCATGTAGGCTCCTGTTTCACTCTGCTGGCCTGTGCGGGTCGCGAGAAGTTGAGCGTGTAGGAGTCAGCGCCTTGAGGCAGCAGAGGCATGGAGTTGAGGGCAGCGCGGACCCAGCTAAGAACAACTTGGGAAGGGTTTCGCACCGGATGGGAGGAGGATGTCACTGAACTTCAGAGACTAGGTGAACCCATGCTAGCCACCCCTTGAAACCCCCAAAACTCCAAAACCCTGAACCACCTCTCGCCCCTGGCATGGGGGAGTGCCGCACCATGGTTCAGGGTCTTTCCGGCTGGGGGTCTCGGGTTTAGGGTCTAGTTAGGGAGGGCTTTCAGGCCTAAAACCCAAAAACCCAAAAACCCAAAAACCCAAAAACCCTAAAACCCAACAACCCTAAAAACCCTAACAACCCTAAAAACCCTAAAAGCCCTAAAACCCTAAACCCTAAGGCTGCACTCATGATCCTGGGGGGCCCCTGCTTCCTCCCAGGTAGGACACGTTGATGGCAACATTCTCGGAGAGGCCCTTGCGTTGGCGCCAGACGACCCAACCTGCTGCGCGCTGCCCCAGGCAACTGGGGCCCCCTAAGTTACATAGGGTTTAGGGTTTAATGCTTAGGGTTTAGGGTGTGGGGTAGTTTAGGGTTTAAGGTTTAGGGTCCAGTGTTTAGGGCTCGGTGTTCAGAAGTTTATGCGGGGCACAAGTTGTCTGAAGGAGTGGCCCTTCTGAAGGGTTCTAAGGGAAATACGAACCCAAGGCCCGAAATGCTTTGAACAACCCTAAACCCTAAACCCTAAACCCTAAACCCCAAATCCCTAAACCCTGAACCGCAGGGATGAAGGCTGCCTTAGCAAAGCCAAGGGCTTCAGGGCAACTTGCATCTTGGCAAGCTTCAGGGTTCCAGTGTTTAGGGGGCTAAAGCCAAAACCCTAAACCTTAAAACCCTAAAACCCTAAAACCCTAAAACCCAAAAACCCAAAAACCCAAAAACCCTAAAACCCTAAAACCCTAAAACCCTAAAACCCTAAACCCTAAACCCTAACCCCTCCTTATAAGTAAGCCACGCTGCCTGTGCCGCAGCAGGAGTTCCCAAACTTGTGGCCGCTTGCCGAGATCGACCTCGGCTTATACGGCGAGGATGTGCAGATTCTTCACTAGGTTGCCCAGTAACCTAGGATTAAAAAGGGTGCCCTTTTTTGCTTAAAGGGGTTTATAAGGGAACCTAAACCCCCCAAAAGGGAATAAGGGTACTATTGGGCATCCTAGTTCATCTGCGTCATGATACGTCGTAAGTGTGTACTGATGCCGCTACTAATGCCTTCCCTCTTGTACTGAACCACGCCCCCGCAATCAACAAAAACACACACACACACACAAAAAAAAAAAAGAGAGAAAAACAAAGATCAATCTAAACTCCGTCGGGCGGGAAAATGTTCAAATGAGGGGGGGAGGGTCTGTTGCACCGTTTGCCCCGGGAACCCTTAACCTCGGCCCCAACGCCAGTAGGGCGCCAACCAAGAAATTCCAGTACTGAGCTAGGGGGTCTTGTAACATACATACTCTAAAAACCTTCAGTATAAAATGACTCTTCACCATTGAAGGGGAAGTGAGCGGGGTAGGGAAACCCTACAATCCCTAAACCCCTAAACCCTCAAACCCAAAACGGCCTCAACCAGAAAGCCCCAAGCTCCCTTAACGCTAAACCCTAAACCCTAAACCATCAACCCTAAACCCTAAACCCTAAACCGAAAAGTGCCCAGCGGCAGCACATTAGGCAGCCGGAAATCCCATGGCGGCAGGCCTTCCTGAGGGAGGAATGGAAGGAGAGAGGGAGAGAGCGAGAGAGAAGGTCAGTGGTGTTGTTTGGGGTGAATGAAGTTCTGCCGATGAGGGACCTCCTCAACGACACTGTGCCGCGAGTCTCGTTGATAAACCATCTCTGCAATTCTGTTCAGGGCGTTCAAGGCAATAATTGCCTGCATCCTCCCCTCATAACACCTACAGAGGTCCAATATGCCCTAAAACACTAAACTTACCCTAAACCCCCTAGCGCGGTTCTTGTTGATTTTTTTCAAGGCTTAGACGCCTCCGGTTTTATCAGGAATAGGGGGACATCCTACCCGGTCCTACCCTAGACCCCAATCCCAAGCAAGCCTGGAAAGGGGCGATAAATCCGCCGGATGCAGCATCCACATGGATGCCAACCTGAACTCAGGCTGGGATTCGTGAGGTTTAGGGTTTAGGGTTTAAGGCTTAGGGCTTAGGGCTTAGGGCTTAGGGCTTAGGGCTTAGGGCTTAGGGTTTAGGGTTGAGGGTTGAGGGTTTAGGGTTTAGGGTTTAGGGTTTCGTTGCAGAAGACTATTGAGTCACTTCAGGGGCTTGCGGCAGGTCGAACCTTTATCATTTGGGAGTTTGCAAAAAGAAGGGACCCCAACATACACCCCCAAATAGTAGGATTCCCTTCTCAGAAGGACCCCCCAATAGGGTACCCGTACTTTCGGAAGCCCCCATGGGGCACTGCGCACTTTGATCTGTAAAGGGCTTCCTGCACAGGGCCACGTTGGGCATGGAAAGATCAACAAACGAGCAGGGTGCGAGCTGTTGGTACTGTCTTGTGACGTACCCTAAGCCCTAAATTAACCCTAAACCCTAAACCCTAAACCCTAAACCCTAAACCCTAAACCCTAAACCCTAAACTATACTCCAAACCCTAACTCCTAACAGCCCTCAAAACCAATCAGGTGATGAGCGGGAAGACCCCCGAAGACTTCACCATGGAAATCGTCTAAGTTGGGGTCCCGAAACCGAACCCGACATTGTAATGGACAGGGTTTAGGGGTTGGGGTTTGGAGTTTGGGGTTTGGGGTTGGGGTTTAGGGTTTGGGATTTAGGATTTAGGATTTGGGATTTAGGATTGAGGGGTTGGGGTTTAGGGTTTCACCGCTCATCAGCTCCAAATAAACCAGAAACCCAACATTTTCCCATCTCCCAGCATAAGTTAGAGTAGGTCGAGGGTTTAGGAGCCAATGAATCGAATGAAGCAGAGGATCTGCGTTGACAGGTCCGCGTCGGGTTTAGGGGAGCCAACTCCCTAGCCATAAAGAAGAGGGAGTTGCTCTTCAATTGGGTTTGGGCTTAGCGTTCGGGTTTAGGATTTAGGGTTTAGCGTTTGGGGTTTAGGGGTTTTTGGTTTAGGGTTTAGGGTTCAATAACGCAACCCCTCCCAAGCGAAAAAATGGCCTTCATAAAGAAGCCCACCTGGCCTCCAGGCCCTTCGCTTTGTTGATCTCATCCAACTTCTGGCTCATCTGGGAGAAGGCACGAATGGGTTTAGGGTTTAGGGTTTAGGGTTTAGGGTTTAGGGTTTAGGGCTTAGGGTTTAGGGTTTGGTGTTTAGGGTTAAGGGGTAAGGGTTTGGGGCTTTTTGTTGCGTAGGGTTTAGGGTTTTAGAATTAGGGTTTAGAGGGTTCAGTGAGCCCAGTTTCCTCGGTGTGTCATGCCGGATTCTTCGTGATATTGGGTGTGGGGTTTAGGGTTTAAGTTTAAGGTTTAAGGTTTAGGGGTTAGGGTTTAGGGAAAAAGGAACTAGGTGCAAGAGCCGCTTGGCCAGTGAAAGCGCCCCAAGTTCCTGATTCAATTCGCAAATCAAATTGCGCACCTCTACAATAGCACAGCATCAAAAAAACACACACACACACACACAACTATAACAGATGCTTTTCAAGCCCTGGCAGTACCCATAGTCGGCGACTGAGACGGCAAGGGCTTAGGGTTGGGGGGGGGGGGGGGGGGCCCCTAAGGCCTTAACCCTAAGCCCTAAACCGAAACATTACGCCCTACCTGAGGGGCTTTGGGGCTGCACTTCGACGCCGTGAGCCTTTCGCTTGTCTTCTTAGTTCTTTTCTCCTCGCAAGAGAGGTTTGACTAGGGAAATTGGGAGCACAGTGTTTCTAAGGGCCTGCTTACTGCACCTTACGAGTACTTCCTTTCATTGCCAAAGACAGACCTTGGAGTGACACTCACGGAACCTACTAGCCCTGGAACCCTGAACTTGAGCCCGGAGCTCCTAGGGCTTAGGGTTTAGGGTTTAGGGTCTAGGGTTTAGGGTTTAGGGTTTAGGGTTTAGGGTTTAGGGTTTAGGGTTTAGGGTTTAGGGTTTAGGGTTTAGGGTTTAGGGTTTAGGGTTTAGGGTTTAGGGTTTAGGGTTTAGGGTTTAGGGTTTACGGTTAAGAGTTTGGGGTTCAAGGGGTTTAGGATCATCTCCAAGGGCCCCCTCTCCCAGCCCAAGGGAAAGTCTCGGGGCAGGGCCGCCCACACAGGGTCGTACCTTGGCCATTCGGGGCGGGGGGAATGACAAAATTGCCGATTCGCGCTTCGCTCTGCTACGAGGCTCTGCGGAACGAAACAAAAATTGCCTGCCTAGGATGGCCCTTAAAACGCTCCGAAGAATATTCCTGAGTTCCGCCCAAAAAGGGAAGATGTACAATGCCCCAAGGGCCTACCGAGCTACTTACTTGATTAGGAGCGACTTGTGCCGGCGATACTTTTTTGTTTTACACGGACGGCATGCTAGCAATGCAGGCACGGACCGATTCTTGACGCCAGCCAGCACATGCCGTCTAAACCCTAAACCCTCAAACCCCCGACCCAAAACCCTGAACCCTAAACCCTACACCCGCCCTCCTGTCAGCCTTCCTTGTCAGACGAAGATTGCGCACCCGTGCACGGTGTGATTGAAATCGCGAGACATTCGGGCTCGAAATCGCGCTCTCGCCTAGGTCCCGTGCGCATGCCGCTTTCATCCTGGTCACCCTGGGTTGAGGTTTAGGGTTTAGGGTTTAGGGTTTAGGGTGTAGGGTTTAGGGTTTAGGGTTTAGACTTTAGCTTAATCCCTGTTCCCCTAGGAAGAAAAAAGGATCCTTTTTGTTCATATATAAGAAAGCCCATAACCCAAAAAGTACCCTAACACTGATGGAGTTAGGGTTCAGGGTTTAGGGTGGCTCATCAACCCTCGAAAGCCCTGAACAAATCCTCGAAAACTTCATTCCGTGCGCTCGCGACTCAATCCTACGCCCCTGTGTGCCCACTAGGCTGCAAACCTTGAAGCAGTCCTCTGCAAGGTGTGATAAGCTCTCGAAGCTGCTAAACATTCAGGCCATGGTTTTGCGAAACAACTTCAGGCCACGAACCCGAGCCCCCCAAGCTCCTAAACCTTTGAGCCTTTGCTCACCCCCAGAACCCTCAACACTAAAACCAAGATTGTGTTGCAAAGGTCTGGGTTTACGGTCCAAAAGGCTAAAAGGCTCCAACCAAACCTCGATTTTAAGGTCTAGGCCAGATCTCTTGCCTCCTACGCTGAAGCCTTGGGGCACACGCTCTGAATCCCGACCCTCAGCTCTCTGGGCTCGGCCATGAAACAGCTCTGAAAAACATTCACCCACACGATCCTCTTAGAACGGGCGTGGCCAATGCAAAACATCCAAAGGGCCTGCCTAGGTATCTCCTCAAAACCCCAGGCCACTGAACCCTGAGCCCTACCTGGGACTCGATTTGCCTACAGTTTACTACTATGTTGCTTGAGAACCCCGAAAAAAATGTTCTTCCTCGTTAAGGGTAATATAGGGACTATTACTTTGTATTCTTTTGGGTGTTCTTAAGCAAATGGTGGTTTAGTAGTAGCAACCAGGTATAACCCGTAAAAACTGTGGGTAAAGGAGGGCCCCAGGCAAGCCCTGCAACCTCACAGCTGGGACCATGAGCACCCTAAACCCTAAACCCTAAACCCTAAAACGGGGGCAGGGGGAGGGCTTGTGGCTTTTAACTTGAGGGGAAGACTCGAGCGAGGACCACGGAAGTCCTAAAGCCAAGGTCCCCCTGACACTCTTAGATCTTACAAACCTTAGGGTTTAGGGTTTAGGGCTTAGGGATTAGGGATTAGGGTTTAGGGTTAGGGTTTAGAGTTTAGGGTGTAGGGTTTAGGGTGCCAGGGGAAAACAAAAAAAGCCACGAACCACCAACACAAGAAGGAGGCTATTCATACCCTAAACCCTAAGCTCTACACCCTAAACCCTAAACCCTGAACCCTGAACCTTACACCCTAAACCCTAAACCCTAAACCCTTTCCCCCTGATTCGAGCTGCTTTTGGGGCTTTAGGGCCAGCAGGGCCGAGGGAACCCTCTGAACACAAAAGCCCCCTAAACCTTCCACTGTTTCGGCTTCAGGGCCTGTAGGGTTTAGGGTTTAGGGTTTAGGGTTCAGGGTTTAGGGTTTAGGGTTTAGGGTTTAGGGTTTAGGGTTTAGGGTTTAGGGTTTAGAGTTTGGATTAGGGGTTTAGGATTTAGGGTTTGCAGGGGTTAAGGAGTCTTAGAAGAGAACCGTGTTTCGCCAAGATGCTGGCCGCCGTAGTGGTTCCCCATGATGCAAACAACGCCGATCGTTTGATCGTCAATGTGATCCTCGCAAATCGCGCGGGCTTCGGGTTTTTTAGGGCTTTTAGGGTGTTTCCGGTTTTTTGGGGCTTCTAGGACTTGGTGGGTTTTTGGGGCTTCGGGCTTTTATGTTTAGGGTTGACAGTGGATGCAGTGCTAGAGGCCGCACCGTGCTGGGAGAGAGACAGACAGATAGAAGAGGGATTGAGTTGAAGACTGGAAACCACCTTGTTAGGAATGACCAGGCCTTAACCGGAAACCATACACCGCAACCCGCAAACCCCTAAACCCTAAACCCTAAACCCTGGATTGAAAACGCTAATTCTAAACCCTAAACCCTAAACCCTGAACCCTGAACCCTAAACCCTAAACCCTTAACCTTAAGTGGCCTGCTGCTTACTGGCGTGGTGGACCACAGGCCTTGCAGGCCAGAATTTTAGGGTTTTGGAGGTTTAGGGTTTAGGGCTTAGAACCCGAGCCCCTCTATCCAAACTCAGCTGGGGCTCGCCAATCTTGTTCGGGTCCAGAGTGAAGGTCCTCGGCAAGGGGGAGCTGCGGTGGGCGTCAGACTTGAAGCACTGGACCACACAACCCTGAGCCCTGAACCCAAAATCCAAAAACCCTAGGGAATCCCATACCCCACCCCCCCTTGAGAAGGTCCGTCAAAGATCTGACAATCAAAGGTTATCCCCTCTTCCCTCCACTGTTGGGTTCTGGAACTCCAACGAATGGGTCTGTGCAGTGCTCCAGGGTGCACGCCACGACCCTAAACCCAAACTAAACCCTAAACCCTAAACGCGAAACTCGAACCAGCCACCCGCCCCCCCCCAAAAGGAAAAAAAAATGCAGGGAGAAGCCGAGGGGCTTGTAGCTCGGGGCGATGAAGCGCGGCTCGATGTCCATGTACTTGAACCTGCACAGCTTGCTCGCATTTAGGGTTAAGGGTTTAGGGTTTAGGGTTAAGGGTTAAGGGTGAAGGGTTAAGGGTGAAGGGTTAACGGTTGAGGGGTTCAGGGTTTAGGGTTTAGGGTTAAGGGTTTTGGGTTTAGGGGCCCAAGTCGGAAACCTTAAAGTCTAAACCTAAACCAAGCCCCAGGCCCCCTGAGGCGCCCGCAGTTTCTCCCAGGCGGCCTGGAACATGGTGGAGATAACCTGGGCTCCGAATTCTACTGGGCACCCATATCTCTGACCCCCAAGTCGAGTGAGGGGCCTTAGACCGCGGAGATCCACCCCGAAGCCAACGGTGGCGCCCTTTTGGGACCCTTAACCCCAAACCCGAATCCCGAAACTCCGAACCCCAAACCCTAAACCCTAACCCCTGAACCCCAAACCCTCGTGCCACCCAGCGGCCAGGTTGGGGTACACCCCCCGCACCTCGTGCTCGGCCATGCCCTTCTTCTTCGCCTCGGGGTTATAGGGGTTCTAAACCCTAAACCCTAAACCCTAAACCCCACACCCTAAACAAGCCCTAAACCCTAACCCTAAACCCTAACCCTAAACCCTAAATCCTACACCCTGAACCCTGCACCTTGTTGCCTCAGCCTGGTCACAGGGGGGGTCTTAAGCTCTGGGGAGCCTAGGCGCTCTCTCCCAAACCTCCGAAAATGGTTTAGGGTTTAGGGTTCAGGGCTGAGGGTTTAGAGTTTAGGGTTTGGGGTTTAGGGTTTAGGGCTTAGGGTTTAGGTTTTGGGGTTTGGGGTTTAGGGCTTAGGGCTTAGGGTTTAGGGTTTGGGGTTTGGGGTTTACGGCCTTGGGTTTAGGGTTTAGGTGAGACTCGCTATCAGTGAGGCCCGAAACCTGATGAGCCACCCGCTCCCCCCAAGCTGAGGTGCCCGCATACCATTTGCGCCAACGGAATTTCAAAGCCAGGCCCGCCAAAAGGCACGCCTGGTGATCAGGGTTTAGGGTTTAGGGTTATGAGGGTCTAGGTCTAGGTGGCCAGATTGTGTGGATTTTACCTACCGGCTCTTCGTATGGAATGAGGGAATGAGGGATATAGGCACCACACATCCCCCCCTATATAAGCCGTTGAAAAGGTTCTATAGGTTACCGAAGTCCCTCATTCCCTAAGAACCGGTAAGCTTAGGCTGCTAAACATAGGGGGGGGAGCTTGAACTGACCGTTCAGAGTCGAGTCAAATCTTGAAACATCGATTCTCCGGTCTAAACCTTTAGCCCTAAACCTTAAACCCTAAACCCTAGACTCTAAACTCTAAACCCTAAGCCCTAAACCCAAAACCAAAACCCTAAACCCCAAAGCCTAAACCCTAAACCCTAACCCTTCCAGCGCCTCCGTGGAACCCACGGTGCCTGCGCCGGCGTAGCAGCCGTAGCTGTCGAAATCGTCCGGCACGGGGCAATGCCACAGCTTCGCAATCCTTTCACGGCTCTCAGGGTTTAGGGTTTAGGGCTAAGGGTTTAGGGATTCTTTCAGGGTACAGGGTATGGGGTTTAGGGGTCAGTTTAGGGTTTAGGGCTTAGGGTTTGGTTTAGGCGTGAAAAGTGGTTTCGCACGAATACCGATGCACCTTGTCAGGGTTGAGGAGAATTTGGGGGAGCTTGCCGGCTGATCTTCAGAGAGGCCACAGGTGTCAACAAATCTGTCATCGCCAAGGCTCATGTTCAGCGTGTCGTTGTGCCTTATCGGATTGGCGGCTTGATTCGATTTAAGACCTTTTTTTGGGGATGGGAGGGGCGGGGTTGTTTTGAATGGCTTATAGGGAGGGGCTTTGGGCCAAGGGCCTGCAACGTGCTACTACCTTGCCCTGTTTCTTAGCATCCTGGAGCCCACTCACCGAGAAGATCCAATGTTAAACCGAGTGAGTAATTCATGGCCGCAGGCAACTTTTCGGGCTTGGCAACCGCTAAACCCCAAACCTCTAAACCGCCTAAACCCCCTAAACCCCTTAACCCTGCTAAACCCCTAAACCCTAAACCCTAAACCCTAAACCCTAAACCCTAAACCCTAAACCCTAAACCCTAAACCCTAAACCCTAAACCCTAAACCCTAAACCCTACGCAGAGGTTTTGGGGGTTAAGAAGCACTTGCCCCCAGTCTGAGGCAACCTCCAGCCTCTTAAAGAACTCGGGTGTCTTTAGGGCTCTGTTGTGTAGGGTTTTCGGCGTCTATAGGGTTTAGGGGTTTAGGGTTTTAGGGGTATGTTTGGGGGTTTCGGGGGGTTTTGGGGGGGTTTAGGGATTAGTTTTGATTGAGAGCTGAGGTTTTTTGGGGGTGAGGCCTCTCGAAGGCAAAGCTGCATCCGGAAGGATTCCGGATAGACCGTCTGGTCGGCCAAGTTCACCTTCAGTCCCATCATCGCGACCCGCTCCTCTTCCTGGAACGTGCAGGGTTTGAGGTTTGGGGTTTGGGGTTTGGGGTTTGGGGTTTGGGGTTTGGGGTTTGGGGTTTGGGGTTTGGGGTTTGGGGTTTGGGGTTTAAGGTTTAGGGTTTGGGGTTTGGGGTTTGGGGTTTGGGGTTTGGGGTTTAGGGTTTAGGGTTTAGGGTCCCCTCTAACCCACAAATAGTACGGCACCTGTAAACAAAGGACTCCAACAGACTTAGGATGGGACCTTCTGGCGGTCCGAGGATGATACGGAGCCCTAAACCCTAACCCTAAACCCTAAACCCTAAACCCTAAACCCTAAGCCCTAAACCCTAAACCCTCAGCCCTAAACCCTACATGGAGAACCCACGAAGGGACCTTCATATGGACAACTGCCCCATGTGGCTCCGCATGTGGCGTTCTCAGCAAGCGGTTCTCGAACTGAACGTCAAACGAGGGAAGGGGCAAAAAGGTACCAGCAAGGGAAACCCCAACCTTCCCGAAACCGAAAACCGGGCTTAGGGTCTAGGGTCTAGGCGCCTAGGCTTTAAGTTGTAGGGGCAGGGTTGTTTTATGGCCAGTGCCCACGCCCAGAACTACAAACTCTAAAATCCTACACCGATAACCAGAAACAAGATTTGTTTAAACAAAAATAAGATATCAAAAAAAAAGAATACACCCCGCTTCCCCCCAAACTGCTCCAAGAGTCAGGCTCAAAGACGACATTCACGTAAGAGCTTGTGTTCAAGCGCTCGGAGAAGTCCAGCAAGTGGTAGTCCTACCGGGTGAGGCCCCGGTGCGAAGTCGTGGGCTTGAAATTATTCGTGTTTTCTTTGAGGGGTTTATGCTTAAGCATGGGTGGACATATGCCTTCGAAGTTCAGGAGTGACTTCCATTTTCGGTCAGCCCCTCCCCTCAGGAATGCTTCCGCCCGATGACCTCGACCATGCGAACGCAGTGGCGCGCGTCGATGCCCGAGTCGGGTATCTCCATGTCGATTGCCTTGGGATGCTCAGTCACTCGCGGAACACGGATGCCAGCAAGACACCCTTCCTGAAAAGCCCCAAGCCTCAACCCCCGAAGCTGGTAGAAACAGGAAGCCCAAAACCTACAAGCCTTCAAACGTCAAGCCAGGTAAGCCCCAAGCCCACTTCGGCACCTGTGGGGCCTTGGTGTTCAATTCGCCACCTTAAACCCGCACCCCCCGGACAACTGTCCGACTCCCCGAAAAAAACTTACCAACATATCTTGAAGCCCTAATCCTAGACCTTCACCCCGCCTTCAACCCAAGCCCCTGAACCCTAAACCCTGCATCCCTGAGACGCAAACCCAAACCATGTTCCCCCAACCCTAAACCCTAAACCCTAAAACCCAAACCCCAAAAACCCAAACCAAGTCACTCGCTCTTGCCGAGCTATGTGGCTGGCATAGTAGGGCCTGAGGCGCCAAGAGTTTAAGGTTTAGGGATCATCGCGGTTTGTAGGGTTTGGTTAGGCTGTTTAGGCTGTTTAGGCTGTTTACGCTGTTTAGATCTCTAACCCTGCAAAGCCTCACACCGTAAGCCGTATGAAGCCTCAAATCCCCAGCATCCTAAACCCCCTCCACCCTTGCCAAGGCGCATCGGCGAGGATGTCGTCGTCATGGTGTCAAAAGCTGGCAGACTGACTGCGAACTACTAGGAAAACCCCCTTGCCAGGAGTCTTGGAACTGTTAAACGACTGCGGGGGGGGACGCGTGGCCGACGTCAACATGCAGAACCCCCCCCGCCGGCGCCTGTCAAGACAACCTGAGGCTCATTCGGTTGCCCCAGCCCCGGAACCCTAAACCCTACGGACCCTAAATCCCTGAACACTTACTTTGGGGGTGTGGGATGGCAAGAGTTGAAATGTTGTACCGCCCTCCTCTTCCTCTCCCCCTCCGCCGATTATTACCGACTCTCCAAGATGCTCCTGGACCCAAGAGTAACCTGGAACAAGTACCCTGTTTAAGCCTAAACAAGCGCATAGGGGCCCACTCTGAGACTCTTGCGGGGCAGAGGGGGAGAGTAGACAGGAACCAAAGTGAGCCCTTGCACCCCAGGGCTGAGGGTTCAGGGTCAGGGGTAAACTAGAGGTGCAGGGTTCAGGGTTTAGGGGTGCAGGCTTCAGGGGTTTAGGTTTAGGGTTTATAGTGTTTAGGGTTTAGGGCCACCTCCCTGCCTGAGACCAGGAGTCACCCCAAAACAGACATGTTTCGGGTCTAGGGTATAGGGCTCAAGGGCTTAGGGTGCAGTCGTTTGCTACGCACCACTTTCAAGCCTCCTCCCTAAATCTGCCTAAATCGAGGAAAACCCCTCGCAAAAATCCTAAACCCCTTGAGTCCTACACCCCTCAACTCTCCAGCCATAAACGCCTGAACTCTTTCAATCCTAAGGCCTCGACACCTACACCCCCAAACCCCTAAACCCCTCAACCCCGAAACCCCTGAACTGAGAGCTAGCAGCGGGTGCTGCCTTGGCCTACAGCGAGCGATACCGCGTGGCGACAGGCCAGCGGACGAGCGTTGAGGCAGCGAGCACTGCCCACGCAAGAAGGGTCCGACGCGCGCGCCAGCGCCAGCGTCAGTCTGGCTCTAAAGAGAATCACCGCAAACCCTCGGCTTTCAAGCTAGCCCTTTCCATCCTTTACGATTTAGGATTTAGGATTTACGGTTGTGAACTTAGGTTCAAGGGACCTGTCCGGGGTCTCCCGCGTCAGGGGCCTTACCCGTAAGAGGATTTTCGAGGGGGGTCTTTCCCCTTAAGGGGGCCTCCTCCGGCTTTCTCTGTAGGGGCCGAGGCATAAGGGGCCTCCTGTACATAACGGCTGTAAGGCCTCGTAAACAAGGGGCCTCCCGGTCACGGCCTCGCCATCCTCCGCGTAAGGGGTTTTCGCTGTCAGGGACCTCTCGGAGAAGAAAAAACCCTGGGCGGGTGGGTTGGGAGAACGCGTGAACCTTGGCGCGCACCACAACACCTGCCCCGTGTGGTGGTGTGCGCGGAACGTTGGCGAACCCTAGCCTAAACCCTAAACCTATCAACCCTAACCCTAAACCCCAAAACCCTAACCCGAAAGCCTAAACTCGAAACCCTGAACCCTAAACCCCCAAACCTGAGCCTTCTTTTCCAGGCTAATCGTTGGTCCACTCGGCGATGTCGAGGCTGACAGTGGGGCCGTCCCGGAGCAGCGCCACCAGGCGCCCCACATTGCCTCAGTAGTAGACTTAGGGTTTAGGGTTTGGGGTTTATGGTTTAGGGTCTAGGGTTTAAGGTTTAGGGGTTAGGAGTTTAGGGGCGTAATTCGGGTTTTAAGTTCAGGTTTCGGGCTGAGGGTGTAGGGTTTAAGTTTAGGGTCAGGGTTTAGGTTTAAGGCGTTGGATTTCAGGCTTGTGTTTTAGGATGTAGGGATTCAAGCTTAGGATGCAGGGCCGAGGGCTTAGGGTTTAGGGTTTCGGGTTTCGGGTTTAGGGCTTGGCGGTCAGGAAGGTTTAACGGTCTAAGGGGCTTCTGAAGCATCTCGTGCTCCAAAACCCAACAACAAAGCCAGGCTCCGAAAGCCCAATCCCTAAACCCTAAACCCTAAACCCTAAACCCTAAACCCGAAACCCTAAACCCTAAACCCCAATCCCTAACCCTAAACCCCCCACCAGGGTCAGTTTCTCCAAACATGGTCCCAAGCTTAGGCCGCCGGAGAGGAACCTGAAAATGAAAGGGAACCCGAACTCGGAGAACCGACCATACCTAAAACCCTAAGGACGGAAGGATGAGTCATCCTTCAGTCATTGACTGTGGGTCATTAGGCAACCCTGAACCAACACAGGGGCAAAGGGCTACCAGTGGGCTACCAAGTCCATTCCCAATCAAAGCCAAAGGCGCTGCTAAAGGTGCAGATGCAAACTTCAGCGCCTTTCAAGACCTCCACGTCCGCCAAGAACCTAAGTCCGCGCCAACAGTGTGCCAAACCCTAAACCCTAAACCCTAAGCCCTAAGCCCTAAACCCTAAACCCTAAACCCTAAGCCCTAAACCCTGAACCCGGTGCTAAGTGCGGGAAAGACTCGTTCTCTGTGCTTCTACTTGTCTAGGCTTGCGAATCCACCCGGCGACTCGGCTCACAATGCGCTAGATAGTGAGCCCTGAACCCCGCAGCCCTAAACCTTAAACCCTGAACCCTAAGCCCTAAACCCTAAACCCCTAAACCCTAAACCCTAAACCCTAAACCCTAAACCCCTAACCCCTAACCCCTAAACCCTAAACCCTAAACCCTAAACCCCAAGCCCTACCTGTGACTGTGGCTCATGTCAACTCAGGGAAGGGTGTGCCTGGGACCCTCTTTACCTACAGCTTTCAGGGCTAAGGGCAGCTACTACGCTACTAAGCTGTAGGCTAGTATTTGGGTAGTTTCCTAAACCAGGGTCCCTTTGGGTAACTATTATAAGGCGGCACCCTTTAAAAAAGGGACCCCGAAAAGGGGCCCTAATTTAGAGAACTACCCATTTGCTTAAGAGCCCCAAAAGCAAAAAAAACAATCCCTATACTGCCCTTTGCAAGGGGTTCTTAAGCAATTACTAGTAGCTGAACAGAGTTTCAGGTAGCACTCCCTTCCGAATTTCAAGCAAGGCCATGCCAAGCAGCTCATGTGTCATCTCCACTCTTTGCTTCGCGGAGAGGGCGTTGTAGTTTGCCTAGAAGGGTTTAGGGTTTAAGGTTTAGGGCTTAGGGCTTGTGATCCGCACCATGCCCGCAAAAAGCCATACTCCAAAAACCTTGCGCCGGCGTGAAGAACAGGGGCATGAGAACAGCAGGCCATTTGCCTCGTTGCTGTTTATCGGTCTCAAGTTACTTCCTTGAGGGCTTGTCGAAAAGATGCAAGGCTACGTTTCTAGGTTGGTCCTTTAAACCCTCTGAAGGATGTTCCGGAATATAATCTTCTGCAACCCCACAGGGAAAAAGCAAAATGAAGTTCCTGGCATTTTTCTCCTTCACTCTCAGGGTAATCCTAATAATAAGGCACTGGAATCTTTATCTGGCTTCTCCTTTCCCATATTTCTACCGCATGTTATCGATTATTTGTTGGACAAGGAGAAGATACCACTAAAAGCACTTATAGTTTAATGTCCTGTCGAATGACATTTTGGACACACGACCATATATTTACCTTGCAGCACAAAAAGACCGTTCATTCAAAATGATCTGGTCTTCCTCTCTTAAGGTCCGTCTATATTTCTTGTAATCACGGGATCATGCGTTTACCCTACCCAACTATCCCCATAATTAAGCAGTCCATATATCTGCATCAAATTTATACGCGCTCCTTTCCCAAGGGCTACCCAGCTTGACCTTATGCCGTAACCGTAAAGCCGAACCCTAAACCCTAAACTCCTAGGGTAAACCGTCCCGTGAGCCTGCCAATGGCCGTTGCGCAAATTGGCCGGGACGTCGCCGCGGGAACGCCATCGCACCTGCAACAGCAAACCCCAAACCCCCAAACCCCAAACCCCCAAACCCCCAAAACCCCAAAACCCCAAAACCCCAAAACCCCAAAACCCCAAAACCCCAAAACCCCAAAACCCCAAAACACCAAAACCCCAAAACCCCAAAACCCCAAAACCCCAAAACTCCAAAACCCCAAAACTCCTCTAAACCCTGAACCCCAAAACCCCAAAACCAAAACCCAAACCCCACACGTTCGCAAACGCTCATGAACTGAGGAGCCCAGCTGTCCTATCTCCCTTCCTGAACCCGAAACCCTTTAAACCCGGGCCCTAAACCCTAAACCCTAAACCCTAAACCCTAAACCCTACCCCTAAACCCTAAACCAAAAGGGGAACTTCTGGGCCCCACCACGGGTCAGGGGTCTTCCCTCCATGGCGCCTCAGCAGAAGAGCCCAGCGAGCGAAGAGCCTTGTCCACCTCCTCCAGGGCTCCAAGCTTGGGTTTAGAGTTTAGGGTTTAGGGTTTAGGGTTTAGGGTTTAGGGTTAGGGTTTAGGGTTTAGGGTTTAGGGTTTAGGGTTTAGGGTTTAGGGTTTAGGGTTTAGGGTTTAGGGTTTAGGGTTTAGGGTTTTAGGGTTTTAGGGTTTAGGGTTTAGGGTTTAGGGTTTAGGGTTTAGGGTTTAGGGTTTAGGGTTTAGGGTTTAGGGTTTAGGGTTTAGGGTTTAGGGTTTAGGTTTATGGTTTAGGGTTTAGGGTTTAGGGTTTAGGGTTTAGGGTTTAGGGTTTAGGGTTTAGGGTTTAGGGTTTAGGGTTTAGGGTTTAGGGTTTAGGGTTTAGGGTTTAGGGTTTAGGGTTTAAAGGCTTGACCGGCAGGCAGTAAACCTTGAGCCCTCACCCGAGCATACCACTCAACCTTCGTGGGCCTCCGCAGCGGAGAGGTCGTCGGTGCCTCGGCGGTTTTCTTCTTCTTCGTCTCCTTCTTCTTATTATTATTCTTGTTCTTCTTCTTGCTCTTCTGCACGCTGTAGGACCCCTTTGTGCGGGCTCACTTTCTCTCTCTCCCTCTCTCTTTGTCTTCTTCTTCTTCTACCCAGCGAAGAAGCTCTCTCTCTCTCTCTCTCTCTCTTCCTTCCTTCCTTCCCTCCTTCCTTCCTTCCTTCCAAGCACTTAACCTCAGGAAGGACCTCGTCATCA